AAGCAGCTGGAAGTGCAGCATGCAAACGCCGGAGGAAGGAAGAGCGCATGGCATGCTTCTGCGCATTCGTGAGCCCCGGTTGCTGCAATATCTCTCTCAGCGTCTCTATCACATCCTGAGAGGAAGGAACACTGGATGCTGGCTGAGCGGATAAAACTTGGAAAATTAGACTTGACTCAGCCTTGAACAAGTCTTCTAAAAGTTCTCAAGTGCTCCAAGTGTCCTCTATGTGGATGTCCTTGTCTCGGTCACTCTGTTTGACCCGAAGCAACCGCTCGATGACCTTCCGTGTGCTAGGTTCAGCCCGGCCATGGACGTATCTCACCGTGAGCTCTGCATCTTCCTCGTCGTGCAAGAGCTTTTTCCAGGCATCAGCAGTCAAAGTTGTTCCGATGTAACGCTCCACCGTGGAGATGCAGCTGTGCAAGAGTTGCTGCGTCGCTAAAAGTGGACCTGGAATGGAAACCGCCTCAGTGAAGCAACACCATGGTATGCAAAGGGGATCAAATTTGTAGTTTAGGAAGTGGACAGTATTCCAAAATCAAATCGGCGCTAGAAAATAAGCTTCGGTGGTATGACCAACAGCCGCAACGTTGTATCCCATTGAACCTGACTTAGCTTTGCACCAAGGCTTCCTGGAACCTTCTCCGGAATCTTCTCCGAAACCCTGTTGAACCTGACCTGGCTCTGCACCAAAGCCTCCAGGGCCTTCTCCGGAACCTTCTCCGGAACCTTCCGAACCGAACCGAAAACGACCAGGAACCGCAGGAACCGAAACCGAACAGGAACCGAACCGGGCCTATACCAAATCCGCCCGCACCGAAGGTGCCGAGGCGTTTTTTGTGTGCCTGCGTGAACCGTTAGCAATTGCATTATAGCTAATAAGTTTTAGCTTGGGGGGGGGGCATTTTTGCTCTAGAATCCTGTGTTTTTGCATGTTTTTCAAAAGGGGTCAAAATTCTTGATCTGGGCCAATATAGGCCAAAAATGGGTCAAGATAGGCCCAACATAGGCCCAACATGAGCCTAAGATAGGCTCACATGGGGCCAACATCCAACATACCCTCATATGGGGCCAAGATAGCCTCATACGGAGCTAAAAAGTGCCCAATAAGTGCTAAAAAAACGTTCAATATGGCCAAACATCCTCCAAATGGGCTCCATATAAGCCCAACACGGGGAACACAAGTCTGAAGCACGACGAACTCCTTAGACTTCCCGACTCCATTACACTTGGTGCGGGCGGTTTTCGTCGCGAAGCGACCGTGAAGACTAGAACCGAAACCGAACCGAACCGAACCGAAACCACACTGAACTTGACCTGGCTCTGCACCAAAGCTTCCCGGATCCTTGTCTGGAACCGCACCAACGCCTTCAGACCTTCTCCGGAACCTTCTCCGGAACCCTGTTGAACCTGGCCTGGCTCTGCACCAAAGCCTCCCAAACCTTCTCCGGAACCCTGTTGAACTTGACCTGGCTTTGCACCAAAGCCGCTCAAACCTTCACCGGAACATTCTCCGGAACCCTGTTGAACTTGACCTGGCTCTGCACCAAAGCCTCCGTCCGGAACCCTGTCTCCGGAACCCTGTTGAACTTGACTTGGCTTTGCACCAAGGCTTCCTGGAACCTTCTCCGGAACCCTGTTGAACCTGACCGGCCACTTCTTGTCCATAAAGTTCATTTCAAATCCTTTGCACCATCATGCAAAGTCCAAAAAGTAGTCAAAAACGCAATAAGACACATCGTTCCCAGATGTTATTCCACCATTCTGCAGCAAATCCCGAATCCTGCATAAAGAAAACATTGTTGTCACCAAATTCCGGTCGCCATACCAAGCTATGTAGGAACGTAGCACGCGTTCACCGTAAACACGGGAGCGTGTATTTCCATGGCAAGCCAGCAGCAGCAAGCCAGCAGCAGCAAGCCGGCAGCAACAAGCCAGCAGCAGCAGCAGCAGCAGGTGGCAGTAGCAGCACCAGCAGCAGCAACCGGAACCTTCTCCGGAACCTTCTCCAGAACCCTGTTGAACCTGACCTGGTTCTGCACCAAAGCCTCCCAGCCTTCTCCAGAACCTTCGGAACCTTCTCTGAAATCTCGTTGAACCTGACCCGGCGCCCGCACCAGTGCACACCGGAGCTATTCTGGGCTGAAGACCCCATTAGCTTACGCTGTTGGGGAAAAAAATGCAACTGATACTGTATACATCGACAGTACCGTAGCGTTGAGTGCTGGCACAAGTCCAAAGAACCTACAGATGTCCCCACCACCTCTGCCCTATGGTGGTTGATCCCTCCAAAATAGGGTACAGCTGGTGGTCAGCACTGCCCGAGCCAGATCGACCAACTCCTTCAACTAGCGAATCCGGAACCGAACTAAGCACAAAATCAGTTCCTGGAAACGCTCACATCACATGATAACTTTACATATGAGTCTATTGATGCGAGTAATCTGCCGACCGAAGTCTTGAGTTCCGGGAACACTGTCTACCACAACCTCCACTTGGAATCTTCAACCATGTACAGTGTACAACTTCTGGGATCTCACCAAACCGCCTGACCTAGCCGAGCCTACCTTGATCGGGACCCTGTCAACTGTCAATGGCTGTCGGGAAAATATAGACAATCTGTGAGTCCCCAATAAATCTGACAATCGATATTAAAGACTAAAGTGACTAAAGAGTTGAATCAGCAACCAGCTCAACAAGCTAATCACAGGCAAGTAGCTACCAACAAATGTTCCAAGGTGGACCCGTTTCCTCTTGCAAGGTCAGCTCTCCCAATCTCCGCCATATGGGAATGCAGGCTTCGGAGCACTTGGCCAACATCACCTCCCTTGTCCGAGAGGATCATGACTCCAGCCTCTAGCTGCAGCCAGTTCTTTGTGATTTGTCCAAATATCTCCACTGGATAAGAACCTATCTCAGCCTATCTCCAAATAGAGGTGGATCAGTTTCATGCACCGATCTTGTGCTCAGACACGGCTGTATTTCAATATTTTGTGGCCTTAGTCTACACGAAATAACTTCCCTCACCCTGGCCTCCTGGGGGCTCAGAATATGATTGCATCGCACAGTCGTTTCGTCCACTGCGGAGACTTTGAACTCAGGCACCTGGACATCCAGACCCCCCTGGTGTCCCCAGACACAGTGACATCCTCAAGATCTGCGGAAGTTCCGGATCCCCAACCGCAACAACCACAAGGCGCTTTCCACAGGGTGGCCTGGATGGTGAAGGTCACTGCATGCCTTTCTACTCCCGGCTTGAATGTCAGCTGCGCCTCCCATGCTTGGTCTGCTGCAATCTGAGCTGTGTATTTCTGGAAATTGCTTTTGAGTGCCAGCATCCAGATTCTGTGTTGAGTAAATCAGTTTTTGACTTTTGATATCCCACACAAGGCACAAAGACTGTGTCAGAGTCAAAGTCTTAAAGACACTCTTCGACTTCTGTTCATGAGCAGAGCAAAGACATCTTACAAATTATCAAAGTCATCGGTGCCTGCCTACGTCCTGGCCTCGACGTTGGGCGGGAACAGTGGCAAGTTGGCCTCCAAGGGGTTGTCGAGATGATCCAGGAACCATGCTCCGACCGACCGTTGCCGTAGCAAGTTTTCCACCTTCTCCATCCCCAGAGCATCCAAATACGCCTGATTTGTGACGGCCGCAGATAGTTTTGAAGGATGCTTGGAGCAAAGTACCCCCCTAGCCCACAACATCACAGTTGGTAGTGGGAATACCAAAAATACCTAGGCCACCCAAAAAATGGAAATCGCACAATGATCCCAAGGCAGTTCACGTTCACATCCAGCACGTGCATGTAGAATTCGTCCTCGCCGCAGGACATCAGCATGCCAGTGGGTAGATCTGGATGTGAGATGCCCACGGTCAAACCACTATCTGCGACCCTTCTCCTGCAGATTGTCTTGAAACATGTTGAAACTATGACATACTGCATCTGCTTGATGACAAGAAGCCAAACTCTTGAAAAAATGAGGATAATGGGTGGCGGTTTCTGCTCAAAAGTCTTGCGATGAGTCAATTTGAGTCGCTGCATGGGCCTGACATCAACAATGTGGCCATTACGACAGTTCTCGCATATTCGGAAAAGTGGAGGTAGAATTGTGAAATCCGTTAGCTGTTTAAGGCCAATTTCTTTGGTAGCAGGTATGGCCCATGTTATTGACGGGCTCTGGTTATAGAAGAACCGTCAGGCACTGGAAACTTTCGCGGGGATCGCGGGGCTAGGGCAGGTTAGTGGCACCTCCAGTTGCCAGTTGCTCTTATTAGCTATTCTTTTTCTTGCTCAACTCAGGAACTACATGGAACTACCAAGGCTTGCCATTGTATCTTGTTATCCTTGACATGAAATCGGCGTTTGATGTTGTCCGACTAGATGACATGCGGCTAGCTTGCGCTCAAGCCGGAATTGCCGGGATTGACTGGCTGTTGCTTGATGACATTCTACGCACCGACTAGCAATGTATCCATTTGTGCATCGTTTCCTCTCCAAAGCATTTGTCTTAGGTTGCGGAACTGCTCAAGGACGCCGAGCGTCAATGTATCTAACAGTTTGCTGTCTTGGTTAAGAAATGAAGTTGAACGTCGCATTCCGTTTGGTGTTTCTGCTTGGGTACCTTACCCTATTATAATGGCTTTAATAAGATCGACCTTGCAGATCCTGCTTGCGATTTTCACAGTCCGCCCAGCCCAAGGGCTTTCTTTCAACCTATCCTAGATTTTTGGACATTTGCGCAGCAAAACTTCACCCCCTGTCCGCCAGTCTGAAACCCTTGCGGATATTTTGGTTCATTTGCCTAAATTTGCGGATCGTTGCTTTTTACTGGACGCAATTGGCTTTACAGGCGTGGGGCCCTTGCAATATATTGGTGACACAACTATTCCATGCTCGTCCCCTGGACAAATCCGTGATATTGTCAACAAGCACTTAGGTTCGGCTTGTTCGCAGTTTGCTCCCCGAACAAAAACTCAGTTTCACTACGGACGCAACAAAACTTCTGTTTTGGCATTTTTTTGATAGCCCTTGTCTCGATCTTTGGATTGCAAAGTGGTTGAGTCCAAAACAATCCTTGGTGTTCTGTTTGATAAGAATCTCTCTTTTGAGCGATTGCTCTCTCAAATGATAGCGAAGGGGTGGCCCCTTTTTGAAGAAATGTTCCATGCGGCTGAATGTGGATGGCTTTTTCTGTTCCTGTTCTCACTTCTCAGATCCTTGTCCGAATTCATCCGGTGCTTTCGTCCGCTGCCCCTTTCCTAATTATGGCCCCCAGAGCGATTCAGAAATGCTGCTGTGGAGGTGGGGCAAGGCAACTCTGGGCTGCAGGTATCAGCGCGAACTCAAGCATCACTTAGTGGTGGCGCAGTGTGGCCGGGACTTACGCTCAAGCATCTTTTCGACTGCAAGATTATGCCCAGTTTCCTCCCGAAATGCTATTGTCCGCCAAACAGAACCCATCCCTCAGGAAGTATATGCGTTCCACTTTCCGCAAACAGATTATTTTGCCCAACTACAGCAATCTGGCAGGGACCAACTTCAACTCACTTACTCTGACATTTTGATTGGTTTAGGTTTCTCGCCCTCTCAGCTTCATGTTTTTTTCTTCAAACTTGAATGGGAACTTTCAGATTTGCCTTGCAGCTCAGTCATTTGGCGAAATTTTCGGAGTTGGAGCTTGGTTCGCATCACTGGCCGTTGGCCACTACAGTACCGGGTAAAATAGGGTCACTATAGCGGAAAAGCTAGTAGTCACCAAGAGCGCATAAACTGGGTCACTCCAAGCGCATAACTGTCATTTATGTAGGTTAAATTTGAATTTAAAAGCTTGAGATACCTTGAGATACTCAGATTTACGCCATTCCTGCCCCGTAGCATTGAGATACTTAGATTCCAGCCGTTCCTGCCCCGTAGCTTGAGATACTTAGATTCCAGCCGTTCCAGCCCCGTAGCTTGAGATACTTAGATTCCAGTCGTTTCAGCCCCGTAGCTTTGGATACACTGAGCTACCACTACAATTCATTGGTGTGCTTGTAGCGTTTCAGTGGGGGTATTGCGCACCTTACTGGTTTGCCCACGTTCTCGTGGGGTGTGGGACAATTTGCGCAATGCATGTCCTTGGTGCCCTTCTCGGGATTCCACCCTGGCCTTTTTGCAGTTTATCCTTGGTGAAGCGGCTCCGTGGCCACACGCTCAAAATTTTGTGGGAGCGTGCATCCAAGCCAATTTGGCGGAAGAGAAAAAGGTGCGAGCTGCCTGATAGAGTGGTTCAAACAGGTCGCACATCTATTTCAAGAATGGTGCTTTTATAACATTTTCTTTTTCCCAAAAGCATCTCCGATGCTTGCGTTCTCGTCTAGCTGCATTTGCCGCGAGATGGAAGTGACGAGAGGGTGGAAAATAGATTGGGGAGAGGTCCGTTGGGAGGGAACGGATGGAAGCGACGACTGGGTGGACGGAGAGGAAACCGTGGGAAATAGCATTGGGGAGAGCTCCGTGGGAAGGATGGAGATGAAAGCGACGAGAGGGGAAGGAGCGAGATGGAAGCGACGACAGGGTGGACGGAGGGGAAACCGTGGGAAATAGCTTGGGGATAGCTGCGTTGAGAAGGAGCGAGATGGAAGCGACGACAGGGTGGACGGAGGGGAAACCGTGGGAAATAGCTTGGGAAAAGCTCCGTTGGTAGGGAGCGAGATGGAAGCGACGACAGGGTGGACGGAGGGGAAACCGTGGGAAATAGCTTGTGGAGAGCTCCGCGGGAAGCGACCACAGGCTGGACAGAGGAAACCGTGGGAAATAGCTTAAGGAGAGATGGAAGCGACGACAGGGTGGACGGACGGGAAACCGTGGGGAATAGCTTGGTGAAAGTTCCGTGGGGAAGGAGCGAGATGGAAGCGACGACAGGGTGGTCGGAGGAGAAACCGTGGGAAATAGCTTGGGGAGAGCTCCGTGGTAAAGGAGCGAGATGGAAGCGACGACCAGGTGGACGGAAAGGAAACCTTGGGAAATAGCTTGGGGAGAGCTCCGTGGGGAAGGAGCGAGATGGAAGCGACGACAGGGTGGACGGAGGGGAAACCGTGGGAAATAGCTTGGGGATAGCTCCGCGGGGAAGGAGCGAGGTGGAAGCGACGACAGGGTGGAAAGAAGGGAAACCGTGGGAAATAGCTTGGAGGAGCTCTGTGGGGAAGGAGCGAGATGGAAGCGATGACAGGGTGGACGGAAGGGAAACCATGGGGAATAGCTTGAGAGCTACGTCGGGAAGGAGCGAGATGGAAGCGACGACAAGGTGAACGGAGGGGAAGCTGTGGGAAATAGCTTGAAGAGAGTTCTGTGGCAAAGGAGCGAGATGGAAGCGACGACCAGGTGGACGGAAAGGAAACCTTGGGAAATAGCTTGGGGAGAGCTCCGTTGGGAAGGAGCGATAATAAAGCGGCGACAAGGTGGACGGGAAGGAAACCGTTGGAAATAGCTTGGGGAGAGCCTCGTTGGGAAGGAGCGAGATGGAAGCGACGATAGGGTGGAGGGAGGGAAAACCGTGGGAAATAGCTTAATTATGCTTAATTGGGGATAGCTCCGTTGGGAAGGAGCGAGATGGAAGCGACGACAGGGTGGACGGAGGGGAAATTGGGGATAGGTGTGTGATTGGGAAGGAGCGGGATGGAAGCAATGACAGGGTGGACGGAAGGGAATCCATGGGAAATAGCTTGGGAAGAGCTCCGATTGGGAAGGAGCGACGGAAGCGACGACAGGGTGGACGGAGGAGAAACCGTGGAAAATAGCTCGGGGAGATCTCCGTAGGGAAGGAGCGAGATGGGAAGCAACGACAGGGTGGACGGAGGGGAAACCGTGGGAAATAGCTTAGGGATAGCTGCGTTGGGAAGGAGCGAGTTGGAAGCGACGACAGGGTGGACGGGGGAGAAACCGTGGGAAATAGTTTGGGAAAAGCTCCGTTGGGAAGGAGCGATACTAAAGCGGCGACAAGGTGAACGGAGGGGAAGATGTGGGAAATAGCTTGAAGAGAGTTCTGTGGCAAAGGAGCGAGATGGAAGCGACGACAGGGTGGACGGAGGAGAAACCGTGGGAAATAGCATGTGGAGAGCTCCGCGGGGAAGGAGCGAGATTGAAGCGACGACAGGGTGGACGGAGGGGAAACCGTGGGAAATAGCTTGGGGAGAGCTCCGTTGGGAGGAAGCGACGTACTGAGAAGCAGAGCTGCTCGCACGGGTTTTCAGGAAAAATTCCATCAATCCAATTGTCCCGAAAAACTGTGTGCCCAAGACTTTTCAAGTGGTTTGCAAACGTTGGGCGATGGGACATGCATAGCTTCGTTGGCAGGGAGCGACGCTAAAAATGCACTGCTGTTGGCGCGGGTTTTTCAGGACAAATTTCATCAATACGATTGTTCCAAAAAACTGTGCGCCCAAGACCTGCCAGAGTTTCCAAACCCTGGCCCATGGGACATGCATAGCTTCGGGAGCGAGGCGAAAAGAGCAGGGCTGTTGGCACGGATTTTTCAGCATCAACGCAATTGTCCCGAAAAACTGGTGCCCAAGACTTCTTAAACGCAGGGCAAAGGGACATGCCGGACATGCATGGGAAAATGTTCTTTGCTGGAGGGGTTTTCATTTTGCTCGGCGTTCTGTCCGTCGATGCTTGGTTTTCGCTCCCTTTGCAGCGAAGCAAACTCAACGATAACCCAAGCATAGGATATGCATCACCGTGAACGGACAGGTGGGGAAATAGCTTGGGAAGAGCTCTGCTGGGAGGGAGCCGCACTGAAAATGATTGAAAATGTGGAGCTGTTGGCACAGGTTTTACACAAAGCAGCTTTTACACAGAGGAGCTTTACACAGAGGAGCTTTACACTGAGGATCTTTTACACAGAGAGGCTTGTACGCAGGGAGGACTTTACATACAGAATCTTTCACACAGAGAAACTTTATACAGGCACAGGAAAGGTTTTACACACAGAAGCTTTTATACAGAGAAGTCTTTATACACAGAGTAGTCTTGACACAGAGAAGCTTGCACACACAGAGGCGTTTACACAGAGAAGCCTTTTACACAGAGCAGCTTTTTCACAGAGGAGCTTTTTCACGGAAAAGCTTGCACACGCAGAGGCTTTGACACAGAGAAGTCTTTACACAGAGGAGCTTTTACACAGAGCAGCTTGTACACACAGAGGAAGGAACTTTTACACACAGACGCTTTTACACAAAGAAACTTTTACACAGAGCAGCTTTTACACACAGAAACGTTTACACACAGAGGGGCTTTACACACGGAAGCTTCTAAAGCCAGAAGCTTTTACACCGGAAAGCCTTTACACAGAGAAGCTCTTACACACAGAATTTTTTACGCAAAAAAGCGTTTACACAGAAGCTTTTACACACAGAGGCGTTTACACAGGAGCGTTTACACACGGATGCGTTTACACACAGAAGCCCCCATATACAGAAGCTTTTACGCAGAGTAGCTTTTAGACGGAGAAGTCTTTACACAGAGGAGCTTTTACACAGAGAAGTCCTTCTTACAGAAAGGAGATTTACACACAGAAACTTTTACACACAGACGCGTTTACACACAGGAAGTTTTACACAGAAGCGCTTACGGCGCACTGAAACTTTTTACACAGAGCAGCTTTCACACACAGAAGCTTTTTCACAAAAAAATCTTTACACAGAGAGGTTTTTACACACAGAGGCTTTTGCACAAGGAAACTTTTACACAGGAAAGCTTTTACACACAGAAGCTTTTGCACAGAGAAACTTTGTTCACCGAGAAGTCTTACGCAGAGGAGCTTTTATGCACAGACGGGTTTGCACAGATAAGTCTTTACACAGAGGAGTTTTTGCACACAAAGTGTTTACACACAAAAACGTTTACGCACAGAGAAGCTGTCACACACAGAAGCTTATGCACTTGAAAGCTTTTACACAGAGAAGCTCTTACACGCAGAAGCTTTTACACTCAGATTTGTTTGCACAAAAAAGCCTTTACACAGAAACTTTTACACAGAAACTTTGACACACAGACGCGTTTACGCAGGAGTCTTGACACAAGGACACGTTTACACACAGAAGCCTTTACGCACAGAAGTTTTTTTGCACAGAGTAGCTTTTACACACAGAAGTCTTTACACAGAGAAGTCTTGACACAGAGAAGCCTGTACACACAAAGGCTTTTACAGAGAGAAGCCTTTTGTACAGAGAAGTCTTGACAAAGAGGAGCTTTTACGCAGAGAAGTCGTTACACAAAGCAGATTACACACAGAAGCTTTTACACACAGACACGTTTACACACAGAAAGTTTTACAAATAGACGCTCTTTCGGCGCACAGAAACTTTTACACAGAGCAGCTTGTACACACAGAAGCTTTTACACAAAAAAACCTTTACACAGAGAAGATTTTACATACAGGAGCTTTTGCACAAGAACACTTTTACACAGGAAAGCTTTTACACACAGAAACTTTCACACACAGAAGCTTTTTACACCGAGAAGTCTTACACAGAGGAGCTTTTACGCACAGACGCGTTTACACAGTGAAGCCTTTACACAGAGGAGCTTTTGCACACAGAAGACTTTTACGCACAGAACCTTTTGCACAAAGTAGCTTTTACACAGCGAAGGCGAAGTCTTACACAGATTGCACAGAGAAGCTTTCACGCGCAGACACGTTTACACAGAGAAGTCTTTACACAGAGGAGCCTTTACGCACAGACGCGTTTACACAGAGAAGTCTTTATACAGAGGAGCTTTTGCACACAGAATCTTGTACACACAGACGCGTTCACACACAGGAGGTTTTACAAACAGAAGCTTTTACACACAGAAGCTTTTACACAAAAAAAACACTTTACACAAAGGAGCTTTTACACACAGACGGGTTTACACAGAGGAGTCTTTACACACGGAGGCGTTTACACAGGAAAGCTTTTACACACAGAAGCGTTTACACAGAGTAGCTTTTACACAGAGAAATCTTTACGCAAAGAAGTCTTGACACAGAGAAGCTTGCACACACAGAGGCTTTTACACAGAGAAGCCTTTTACACAGAGCAGCTTTTTCACAGAGGAGCTTTTACACAGAGGAACTTTTACACAGAGAAGCTTGTACACTCAGAGGCTTTGACACAGACAAGTCTTTTATACAGAGAAACTTTTGCACACAGAAGCTTTACACAAACAAAACCTTAACACAGAGGAGCTTTTACAGACAGAAGCTGGTACGCAAAGAAACTCTCACAAACAGAAACTTTTACACACAGAGGACGTTTTACACAGAAACTTTTGCACACAGAAGCTTTTACACAAAAAAAAACTTTACACAGAGAAGTTTTTACCCACAGAAGCTTTTACATACAGAAGCTTTTATGCAAGGAAGCTCTTATACAGAGAAGTCTTTACCCATCTTTCATCATGTCTCATTTTTCATGATCATTCACCATCTGTCACCTTCATATCTTCGTTTTCATGCTCTTTTGGTCAACTCCCTCCGTCGTTTAGTTTTCATTTCGCACGGTGTTCTGTCCGTCCAGGCTTCGTCCTCGCACCCTCTGCGGCGAAGCAAACTAAACGAGAACCCAGAAATAAATAGCGACTAGAAAGATGGGATAAAGTTAATTACATTAGCAGAAATAGCGACTAGAAGAATGTAGACGTAGCTGACACAGCATGCTGTGGGTGAATTGTGGCCCCTGATACCATCAGTGCGCACGATGTTTCAGTAAAGATCTTACGTCGTTTTCGTGCAGAGCACAGGTGCCCACACCACACGATTTAAAGAAAAAGGGCGTGCCGTCTTGCTTTTGGGTTCTCTGGCCCACCTTGTTTTTAAGCAGAGGGACGATACATTGGTGCGCAACTACCACGAACAACCTTCCTTCTATCATTATATTGCTGTCTAACCGGAGGCCAGTGAAAGACCTGCGCCCTGCCGCTAGTAGGATGACCCGTTTGTCCTCAAGTCCTGGATAGTTCAGGTTTAAGGTCGGGCGTGTCAACGTCTGATGCCCCTTTCATGTGGGCTCAGCCGTTCTGATTCACCAATACAGCAATACACCCATGACACGTCAGGTTTGCATGCTCCTTGCAGGCTGCGGAAAGTCCACTGTCAGCTCGTTTCTTGGATCGCCCAGCGGCCAGTCACAGAAATTCAGGGAGATCCTCAGGATCCAACTGAGGCAGGCATCAGGACGCTGCAGAACTGGGAGTCTCCTACCTCTGAAACTATTGAACGTGTGAGAAGCAATTTTGACCTTCTCATTCTAGCCAGGTAAAGCATCCAGCATCAACGAAGCTGAAATGATTGCGAACAAAATTGAAACGCTGGCGAAGGTCTGAACTGCCTTGAGGATGGACATGTCGGTGTGGCGTGATTTCATCTTCAAGGCCTTCAAATAACGGCCCCTGGGGCAGCTATCGCCACTCCAATCACACACCTCTACCTCGGTATGACCCTGGGCCCGCCAAGCCTATGCAAATGCGACATGTGACACGCGGCATTGGCATCGAGTCATTTGCAAACCATCAGCTCGGAGATCCACCTCTCAAGCCCCAAACTTGCCTACAGTCCAGTACATTAATGTCATTATCATATAATGTCATTTGAATGTCCACGTGCATCGATCCGCAAACACACACCCCTTGCCCTTGCCAACATGGCATGCTACACAACAGGTTCAAGAACCAGCGTTGGAAACTGCGTGGCTGCTATGTACCAGTTACCAATCTTTCACAGAAGAATGCAAGACCATCAACACCCAAAACAAGGGCGTCATTCATCTGAATCAAGCTGCCACATGCAAATCATGGCCGCTTGGAAGCTCGGAGGCTGTTTTCCAGGGTACTTGGATGGCTGGAAGTTTGCCATTGATCGGCTTGAATGCAACCTTAGACTGGGACGAAAAGGCAGATCGTTTTCTGGTCTGATCTGGAAGGACGTCATGCAAATTCACGTTTAAATTGAAGTGCGTACTGTCTGCTTTCTAATCAAGACAGCAAAATTAGTGAAGCCAAAGGCACGTGTTTCGGATTGTGCACCACTTTCGGCTTCATGCACACAAAGAGCTTCTGCCGGGGAACTCCAAATTCTATGGCATGCCGGATGCATCCGAAGAATTCCATCCTGTATCCATACTTGCAGTGTTGGGATGTCACAAAGTGTAAAGTAAAGACGCCCAAACAAAAATTAGGCAAGAGCAAATAATGGCAAAGGGCACAAATGAAGCTAGGTGTTCTTTCTTACCGTCCACTTCATTTATGAATGCTTCGCGACACAGCTCCAAGGAGAGGGCAATTCCTGACCGCATTCTTGCACTGCACCAGAATGCTTTATAGTCGCTAGAAGCTTTCTGTACAGTATGCGGTGGGTTGTTCCATTCCAAGTGGATACTGTACCTCAATGAGCTTTAAACCAGAGCAACCAAGGACGAACATAAGCAGCTTCAGCCAGTCCTTTCCACATCAATCGCACTTCCATGTGATGGTTTGCGGCTAGGCCCCCAAACACGAGCCTTAGCGTTTTTTCGAGAAAAACCTACGGATGGCATGCCTTTAATGTGCAGAATAGTTGTAAATATCTGCAGGCTTCAAGCAAAATGTGAGGACACAAGCAAACTATGCAGCCAAAGCTGAGGTTGCCACATCCAAGATCTGCACATAGCATCGGTCAAAGTCCCAAGTGGGACCCCGGGTTTTGTTGCCCCAAATCCTGACTTTGCAACCTTGTAATGCTGCAGGACCACGATGAACAATGACCTCTCCAGCACCTGATGGCGCCGGGCCCAGACGAGGGAAGTTCAAAGCGGCAAGACCATGTGTTGTAATTGTTGTATGCCCGGGGAGCCAATGCGGATGTGTGCTTTATGATTGACATGTGATCCTGTAACGGATGGACATATCTTGTTACATGTTGTTTCGTTCTCAACTGAGTGGTCATCAAAGATCTTCACACGGAGACAGCTATGGCATGGCCGGGCCACGTTTCAACGCCTCCTTGCCACCAGTGGATCGGAAGGTCCCAAAGACCACCAGCCCTGGGAGCTGCTTCAAGAAGTCCAAGGTGGATGGCCTTGGATTGTCCACTTCTATACCACAAATCCTTTCTGTCAATAGAAAATTCAAAGGACCTAATTCTGATCAAAATATATCACTGATCAAGAACTAATCTCTCTTAGTACCTCACTGCTCCCTTCTTTTGCCAATGTTTACAAATCATTGCAAGCAAGAGTCTGTCTGGCCATGCGCTCTTCCCAGTCGTTGGGCGCAGCAGCACAAGATGACTCAATACCATCGCATGGTGGAATCGGAGGCTCTGAGTAGGTATCAGAACCACCGTCACTGTCCTCCTCACGCGGGCCCAGTGGCCTATCGGACCGTGGTGAATTAGCAGCGTCCGAGGCGTCAGCTTCAGAGTCATGTTCATACCATGGCAAAGCAATGGGGGATGCAGCATGTGCTGTAGGCTTCCTTTTAGAGTGCTGAGCAGCAGTTGCAATGATGGGAGGGTCTCCCGCAAAGGTCTGATATCCCACATGCTCTGCACCTCGCTGGACCGCGGCTATTCTGGTCTCGTGGAGTTTGTAGCGCTTCATCGCACCAGAATCTTGACCTTCCCATGAGGACCTTCCGGCAAGCCAAGTGCGGCCAACTGACTTCGATTCTGCGCTCCCATCAACTAAAACATCCTGGGGTTTTGACACCAGTCCATCAGTATAGACATCAGAGCCAGTTGTGGCCAGCTGGCTTTGCCGGCTCTTCGAAGTCTCACTGGGAAGTTTGGCCTCATGGAAGATCAAAGACCTACTGCGAAACCTGTCTGCACCGACCCACTCGTCATCATCTGACACATAGCCGTTGTAATGCACAAGCACAGGAGCTTGGGCTTTGTCTTTCGCATGCGACACTTGCAACACTTTGCAATCACTGTTCTTTCCGGTTGCAGCTTCAACAACATTTGCCTTCATGCCTGACTTGATGTGAGAAAAGTCAGGCACTTGCAACTGGCGCAATGAAAACCAATCCTCTTTGCACTGCCCTGCTTGGTCTGTTGCGGTGTAACGTACTCTGATTGGTGCTTGGTCACGCTTTGAAAGCGAAGATATTTCGAGAACCTTGCCAAACATTCTGGTTGAACCAGTACCTTTCACACAAACAACCATGCCATTTTTGAGCTCTGCGTGTCCTGTGATTGACGCGTTTCTTGTCTGATCGTCAGGCTGAGTGGCTGGGATCATTGGAGGATCATTTTCAGCAGCCCGCCATCTCAAAGTTGGGGAGACATCCAAAGAGGCATTGCTTCTCTCATAGTGCTTGTACTTGCACTTTTTCTTCATCCCACATTGCAAACCAGGGATGTCCTGATGCAAGAAGAGGTTCTTCCCAACAGAATGGTGCTCTTCATGCAAACATGTTCCAGCCAACCACAGGCAGCAAACGAACCTTGCTTCGCTTCCATCAACCAAAACATCCTGGGGTTTTGACACCAGTCCATCAGCATAGCCAATTGTGGCAAGCTGGCTTTGCCGGCTCTTCTCACTGGGAAGTTTGGCCTCATGGAAGATCAGCAATTTGCTGTGAAGCCTATCTGCACCTACCCACTCATCGTGATCTGACACGTATCCACCGTAGTGCACGTACAAAGGAGCTTGGGCCCTGTCTTTCTCGTCCGATACTCGCAAGACTCGACACGCGAAACGTGCACCTGTCTCCCGTTCAGAAGCAGTTACCTCAACACCTGGCTTGATCTTGGAAAAGTCAGGCACTTGTACCCGGTGCAGGGGAATCCAGCTTTCTTGATACCGGCCTGCTTTGTCTGGTGCGCTGTAACGCACTTTCACAGGTGCTTGCTGACGGTTTGAAAGCCGTGATACTTCAAGAATCTTGGCAGACATCAGGTTTGATCCGCTGTCCTTCTTCACACAAACCGCCATGCCTTTTCGTAGCTCTCCACATTCTCTGGCAAGATTCTGTGATTCTGATGAAGATCCAACTGAGGCAGTTGCGGCGGGCTCTGTTTGTAATTCTTCATGGCTTTCAGAACACATACCTTTCAAACACCGTGCGGGCAGGACGGGCTTGTGGAACAGCAACGACTTGCTGTGAAATGTCTCCGCTCCAATCCACTCGTCAGGCTGTGAGGTTTTACCAGTGTAATGCACGTGTATTGGAGCACGGGCTCTGTCTTTAGCCCTTGAGACTTGCAAAACTTTACAATCAAGATTATTGCGGCCAGATGCCTGCATTTTGGGCTTGATCTGGGAAAAGTCAGGCACCTGCAGCCGGTGCAGCGGAAGCCAAGCTGTCTTCATTTGCCCTGCTTGGCCTTTTGAGCTGTAACGTACTCTGACTGGTGCTTCATCATGGTTTGCATGCCGAGAGATTTCCAGGACCTCGCCAGACGTCTTTGAGCCACTTCGATTCATCACACAAACAACCGTGCCTTCTTTGAGCTCTACATGTCCGGCCATGGAGCCATTTCTTATCTGATCGTCAGGCTGAGTGGCTGGGATCATTGGAGGATCATTTTCAGCAGCCCGCCATCTCAAAGTTGGGGAGACATCCAAAGAGGCATTGCTTCTCTCATAGTGCTTGTACTTGCACTTTTTCTTCATCCCACATTGCAAACCAGGGATATCCTGATGCAAGAAGAGGTTCTTCCCAACTGAATGGTGCCCTTTCAGCCAGCACTTTCCACGCAGCCACAGGCAGCAAACGAACTTCGATTCTGCATTGTTATCCCCAGAAAGATGGTGTGATTCAGCCGTTGATTCATCATCAGACCCATCAGAGCCAGCTGCGGAAGAATCTCTTTGACTGTTTGGAGATATTTCTCCTCCAGTCTTGGCCCTTGGATCAAAAGGATGCACAGTGGATCTGGTGCTAGGTTCACTTCTTTGTGGATTTTGCAAGTCAGGCACAGGAAGATCAGCCTTCAGATCGCACCACTCTTGTGGTGTACGAAAAAGAGGCTTGCCCAGGTGCCAGGCCTCTGAACATTTCCCATGCAATTTCAGTCCAAGGCCATCCACCATGGTGTCCTTGTTGTGAACGAAAGGACCTGCAACCTCTGGGTCCTTGGCATCATACACAATGCATGGTGCCCGCACTGTTTGATGCCGCCAGATGCCTTGAAGAGCACAGAGAGCAAGACCACGCCGGTGTCCTCTGACGATGTGCAGCCCTCTTTTATCCGCTACAACCCTCAGCGGCTCGATATCCTCTGGACGTTGTCTACCGCTCAACATGTCATGAATGAGCTCGTAGACAGAAGTGTCCTGCAGCGTCAAAGAAAAATGTCCCAACAATCCCACCCACAATTATTCTCAAAAGAGACACGTCAAACAATTCTGCAAAGGCAGAGGATCAAGATTGACACAAGTTGAGGGCTGGCGGTGCAATGAGCGTGGACTGGAACGACAGCACAGACAGTGGAGTCATTCCAGTTGTCCTTGGAGTGGGTAGGCAGAGGGCCCTTATCAGATTTTCACCATCAAGCCTCAAAAAAAAAACGTCTGTCCTTGTGTCTTCCGGATGTAAATGTCATCTCCGAGTGAACCTTCCCTTGGATCGAGCGCAAGCACCAGATGGGGATCTGCACCACCTTCCCACTGCGAATGCTTCGCGGATCGGGCCTGAGGAAGTTGGGCCCATCACATTATGACTTCCACCAAAAACAAAGAGGCAATGAATTACCTGCCCAGCGATTGCCATGCTGCATTCGTTGCTAAGTTACCCACGGCTGAGACAAAGACTGCCAGCATATGCCAACATCATAGCCTTTGAAAAAGTACAATGCCCCTCAAACCTTCAAAGATGACTAGCTGGCTCTTCAACAACAAAAATACGAACGAATGGTATGGCTAAAAGAGGTAGAATAATGAGTTCACAGTCCGAGTTGCTTAAATGTCATGACCTCCTCTGCACAAGGTAAAAACTGGAGCAATCGTGACATCGCAGAATCGCACGAAGATCTTGGCTCTCCTGATTTGGCCTTGCTCACACATCTGGGTCGAGATACACATCCTGCAGTCATTCTGGCCGCTTTCAATGGGAACTCACAGCGCAGGCTGATGGTTGCAGGAGATAGAGGCAGGAGGAAAATTCAAAATCCTAAGGTCAAGTCCCTAAACTAGTTCAACTGCCCTGTCTGTAGGGTTCCATGTAGAAGGTTGTGGCGTCACAATAAATTGCTTGAGATATTACAGTACTTTGGTGCGAATTTATTCACCTCGGGGCTCTGGAGCCACAATGCTCGAGACAAACAAAGTTGCAACCCAGGATCAACTCGCAAGATTTCTCCGCAGGCTGGGGTTCGATATGAAACAGTGGCTGTGCATCTGCAAATGAGAACAAACCATCGTACTAGCAACATCCCTAGAGAAGACATGCAATCAGCTTGCCGCTACGCACCCTTTTCTGTCACAGAAAGACTGGGCATGAGTTGGACCAAAAACAGGGAAGACCGCAAGACCAAAATCATTGTTTGCCCATACCACAATCCAATATTTGACCATGTCACGGATTTGTGAGTGTCCCTGACTCTTGACCGTACCCAGATAGATATATAGATCTGGAAGGCTACGAGACATCAATGCCTTCATCTACGCACTGCGAAACGCGCCGTCTTGGGCTGGAGCCTTCGACGCGTCTGCACGCGCGTCAAATGGCTTTGGGGAAGATCAAGGGCAATTGGCGGCCCCAGGACTTTCTTTTGGTGTTGTTTGTATCAAATCTGGAAGGCTAATTCAAATCCAACCAATAACAAGATTACTCTTCCAGAAGTCACTGGTGCCTGCGTGTGCCGACTGATTCAGAAAAATCGCTTGGGCTTCGAATGCATTTGCAGCTCCTCAAGCTGTGGATGAACGCATTGAAGTCTTTTGATCCTTTGCTCAACACATCTGCATTTCCAACACAAATGAGGCCATACTTGGGTCTCGTGATGGCCACATTTAGCACCCTGTAGTTCTTCAGGATGCCCAGGTCTTCTCTGCACATCTCCTTCAACTGCACACATTTGTGGTCGAAACCATTTATTCGATATTGCCATTGCCCATGCCATATGAAACACCACTGAAGGAATGGCAAAAAAAACTCACAAACTTCTTCTACTCTACTTGAATTGGCTCATAGTTACACCTGTCAGACAGCCACCCCTCTGATTGTTCCTGAAGTGGTTCACCCAGCCATCCCAGCAATCAGGACAGCGAGTATGCTGGCTCTTGGGTGGGATCTTCGGGCGTTGCAAGCCTTACATCAGTTGGTAAGTTGGGTGTTCTGATTATTTATTCTATATTCTTCTCAAAAGAATCTAGGCAACTTTCTGATTCTTCGTCTAACATTGTCTAACATTGTCTAGCATTGTCTCGATCATTCCGGAATCATCAGCCACAAGCCAACATCTCTAGTTCTGCAAATTTAAATGAATGTCGTCGGATATCGTTCATTCACCCAGCTCCTGCAGCGCCAAGAAGTCCCCAACCGTCTTCGCCACCGAGGTCACCGCATCCTCCTCTTCCGAGGTACTGCGGACGAAGCTTACAATGATGTACTCGCGCTCCAAGCCCTGCCGGCAAGTCCCCAGCAACGGCAAACATGCGAGAAACAAACGGAAGAGGTGACCAACATTGTCAGGGTCCTAGCGCCCGGCTCGGCCTGCATAGAGTGCACAGTGCCCACCAACATGGATGCTGCTTTGGAGCCAATGTCCTTGTTTCGCTCCAACCTGCGGAAAGGTCAGGAGACAATGGCGGACAGTCCTCGTCACTCAAACTCAGAATCACCAGTAAACAAACCAAGTGGAGCAAAAAGCAGTTTCCCAGTTGTAATGAAAAATGCGAAATTCGCCCAAAACAAGCCCTCGCACCCTGCCTGGCACGAATCTCATGTTGCTGGGCTTTGTATGGAGTGATCACCGCGATGTCTCGCGGTGCACACCCCTGTCGCAGCAGGGCTGCGCAGGCAGTCACCACAGATCGAGCCTCTACCACGTTCTTTAGGGACACCTGAAGGAACAGTTAAAGGCACATTTGGGAAGAAGTATACATCTTGCCACGTCCCCATTGACTATGCAACATGGCCACCGCAAAGATTTGCCCAGCCCTCCGTCGTTGGTTGCACCCCACCTTGCTCTCCATCAAAGCCGCATCGCAGGTGCGGTTTAGTTCAGGGGAGAGGCCGATGGACTGCGGCGTCCGGCAATCGACGAAGCACCGATGCTCCTGCAAGGTTCCCCCGGCGAGCGCATGAATTGACAGAAACCTTCGTTGCACGTAGCACGCTAGCAGGGCGATACTGCTCAGTGCTGAATCCAGAAACGAACAAGCTTTTGCAAAAAAGAACATGCTGGCTTGCAAGCATTGGCCCTTTCAGGATTCAGGGCCTCCACAAAATTCGCCTGTCATAAAGGAGGTCCTTTGAAAGGGACTCAATTATGTGGAATGCCTTCAGCTCTTTCGAAACTAGACAACTGAGGAGGCCTTTTGGAAACCAATTCCACACATACCCAACTCTAAATGAAATAGATTTGGCATTTGCAACACTCTCCTTCACAACAACCAGCCCAGCTCCTTCTTCTGTGGCCAGATGCAGTCCAGCTGCCGCCGATGTTCGATCAACACCTGATCCTCCAGCATGGACTCGTAAAACTGCGCCGATGGAAAGCTTCGGATGGAAGGATGCATCCGGTACCTGGGAAATCCCAAAATGATGGCACTGGCAAAGAGTTCGCTATGCACGACTTGAGAATATGATGGACGGAGGTTGAGTCGCATTGAATCTCTATCCGCTGTCCCAACATATCAACTGCTATTCAAACAACGGATTTTGCAATTCAAAAGCAATTCTATGCAAAGACGTGCACGTGTGAGCATGTGTGCCTGCGCGTGCTTGACAAGTGCGCTGTCTCAGAGTTTTTCCGTTTTTCGGTCAATACAAGCATGTTTGCAGTTCACGAGCTTTCCAGCCCTTCATATGTCTGAAACCTGCGCAGCAGTTTTACTTTTGTTTGGGCTGCATTTTTTTCTGGATTTGTTTTCCTGTTTCTTTTTGGATTTTTTCCCCGTTTTCTGGCCGAGGTGGTTTTACTTGGCATTTGCAACGTTTTGGAGCTTAGATCTCTCACTTGCGTGGTACTTGGTGCATTTTGGAGTTTGGATCTCTCATTAGCATGGTGGTGTCTGCAGCATTTTGGAGCCTTGGAGTTTGGATCTCTCATGCGCATGGTATTTGCAACATGTTGATTTACGGTTGGTTTAAGGGTTGTTTAGGGTGTTTTTTTAAGGTTGGCTTTGGGTTTCTTTAAGGTGAGGTTGGTTTGTTTGGGGGTTATTTATGGTTGGTTTAGGGTTTACTTATGGTTGGTGGTTTGTTTAGGCTTTGTTTAGTGTTAATTTAGGGCTGGATTAGCGCTTGTTTAGGGATTGTTTAGTGGTTATTTGTGGGTTGGCTTTGGTTAGTTAATTGTTTGATTAGGGTTTGATTAGGGTTTGTTGAAGGTTGGTTTAGGGTTTGTTTACGGTTGGTTTTCGGTTTGTTTGGGGGTTTAAGTAGTGTTGGTTTAGGGTGTACCTAGGGTTGGTTTAGGGTTTATTTATTTGGTTCTTTAAACTTATTTAAGGCTGTTTTAGCAATTATTTGGCGCTGGTTTAAGGGTTATTCAGAGTTGGTTTATGCGTTATTTACGGTTGGTTTAACTTTATTTAGGGTTGGCTTAGGGTTTGGGTTTATTCCATTTTATTCCTTCCTTTCCTTTCCCTTCCCTTCCCTTCGTTTCCTTTCCTTTCCTTCCCGTGCTTCCTTCCCAACACGAGAAAACGGTCGAAATTAAAATAAAAATAAAAAACGGGAAAAAATGCCCTCCCTTTTGTTTTCCCCCCACACATCTTGCATGATCCGGAATCAACCGTCATCTGAACCAGCCAAGTTGCTGCATATTCAGCATGGTGCTCGCCCATGAGCGTCGAGGGTTTTGGTACATCCTTTCCAAGAAAGGGGTTTCCAAAGCGCTGATGTAAGGTGCACACAAGTTGGTCTCTGTCACCACTGGACCTGGCAGCGTCTTGTTTGGCTTGAAATTTATACCCAGGATTCTGGTATGCTTAAGTGTACAATGTGCAGAACAAGAGCTTAGGCCCGCCTAAGGTAGGCAACTCATCTCAAATTCACAGCTTCAGTAACTTAGAAAAAATCCTGCAAGTCTATGTCTTGTCGCCTCATCCGGCCCCGGCCTAGCTGTTTGTGATCACCAACCACGATGACGCGGCACCAGGCTGACGTGGCCGGTAGAACGACGTCTGGCTCGCTGGCTTGCGCCGCCTCGTCGATGACGATGCTGTCGAAACTCACCGGGCGGAGGACATCGGGTGGCTCCCCCTTCACCAGAGCGGTGTGGAGATAAGCCTCGGGCAACGCTTGGGTACTGGGGTTCAAGTCCCTTCGAATGTATACACTTGGAGGACAATTGATTTTTGCTGCATTTAAAGTTTAAAAGGCAGGAGTGGCGTGATCTCATGGGTGTGAACGTGCATAGTGAACGCAAACATGGATGGACACCATCTCCACCTCACAGGTATAATTTTAATCCAAATTAGTTTGGCTTATTAGTTACAGCTTGTTCTGGTCTTCTTCGTGGACCTTTCCTGTAAACCAGCCTTTCGGAAGCCATCACGTATATATACCTTTTTGCAAGGATGTGGGCTTTGGGAATAGGGTGTGACATAGGACATAAATTTCCGAGGTGAATTTAAGGAAAACATTGCACAACTCACAACTCCTCCAATATCCTAAAGCATCTTGAACTCGGCAACGTTCGTACAGGTAGTGATGACAATTCGGCTATGAAGAAGGACGTGCATCTCTTCATCTTCATATGACTTGTCAAAGGCTTCTTGACTCCCCCTGGGAGGAAGAAGTTTCACCTGAGCCATGTCGACACGTCAAATGATGGTCCCATGTGCTGCTGGTATGTCTAATTCCGGCGTATACCAGTACGTCCCTACCTTTCGCTGCCGGCCTTGGGGGACTCACCGACCTTCCAATGGAGTGCTTTCTCAAGCTGGTGTGCTTGTATTTCAAAATTTCGCTCAATCTTCGCTGTTGTCCTTGGTCTTTCAGGGTTATGGATCTCTTTTCCATTGAACGGAAAATGTAGCGGACTGTGCACAGAGAACAAGCATCCACCAAAGCAAAGAAGCAAAAATGGAAATAGCAAAGCATTTCCAAGCAAATTCAATGATCCCACCCTTGTACTTGCTTCCATACGATCTTTCGATGAACCTGGAATATACTCGCGTCACGTAGCGGGGCGATATGCGAGCGCTCATCAATTGGTTTAAGATGTGGTCG